TCTAATTTTCATAACAAGTCATTTTGGAAGGTATTATTAGGCCAATTTCAAAGATTAGGAAATTAAGGTCTATCTGTAGAGATGAAATGTTTAGCTAGAAAGTGTTAACACAAGTACTTACACCTGGATCTTGTTCCTAAGTTCAGGAACTTTCTACTCCCTAATACAGTATGATTATAGAATGAAGACAAATAAGGCAGTTCTAATAATTAATAATGAAGACTAAAGATTATAAAAGTAGTATGGGTTCAGTTTTCAAATAAATTTCGTGTTAAGAATAAATGAAGCTGTATCATAGAATTTCTGTGGAAATATATGGTCTAGTTGAGAAATGTTAAGGTGGAAAAATATATTTAAGTTTTAACCAAATAAATTGGTGCTAGATGGCAAGGAAACAAATAAGGTGTCTAGAGCTGTGTTGTCCAATACAATAGCAGATAATCAAATGTGGTTATTGAGCCCTTGAAATGTGGCTAGTGGGTCTGAAAAACTGAATTTTAAATTTTGTAAATTTTAATTAGTCTAAACTTAAATTTAAAAACTGATATTCTATTCATGTCTTTACATATATGCTAACTCTGGTATTAAGTTTATTTCTTCAGTTGTAAATCTGATGGTTTCTGTGATGGTTAAGTTTTATGTGTCAACTTGTTTAGACCATATTACCCAGTCTATAAAAATGTTTCTAGGTATTTAAGATTATTTAAAGTTATTTAATCAAACAATAATCTAGGGATAGCTGTGAAAGTATTTTGTAGATGTAGTAAATATCTACAATCTGTTTGCTTTTAGGTAAGGGAAATTACTTTCTATAATGTGGATGAGCTTTATCCAATAAATCTAAAGGCTTTAAGAGCCAGAACCTAGGTGTTCCAAACAAGAAGAAATTGTGCCTCAAGCCTGCAGCATCAACTCTTGTTTGAGTTTCCAGCCTGCCAGTCTTTCCCAAAGATTTCAGACACTGACTGTTACAATCACAAGACCCAGTTCCTTAAAATACACATTTTTTAAAAAAGTTAAAAAAAATTTTTGGGACACCTGGGTGGCTCAGCATTTGAGCCTCTGCCTTTGACTCTGGACATGGGGTCTGAGATTGAGTCCTGCATCGGGCTCCTTGTGGGAAGCCTGCTTCTCCCTCTGCCTATGTCTCCCTCTCTCTCTCTCTCTCTCTCTCTCTCTGTCTCTCATGAATAAATAAAATCTTTAAAAAAAGTTAAAAACGTTTTAAAGATTTTATTTATTTTATTTTTATTTATTTTACTTATTGAGAGAGAGGGAGATAGAGCATTGGAGGGAGGGGCAGAGGAGAAACAGACTCTCTGCTTAGCAGGGAGGCTGAAGCAGGGCTCCATCCCAAGACCCAAAGATCATGGCCTGAGCCAAAGGCAGCCACTTAACTGACTGAGCCATCGAGGTGCCCCTAAAATACACATTTTAGTATATACTTTAAAAAAATAAAATGTATTATTAAAAAATATCTTTCTGATGAAAGGCTTATATGCAAAATATACAAAAGTTCTTAATACTCAATGATAAGAAAATGAACACAAATAAAAATGGGCAAAAATCTGAATAGATTCCTCACCAAGACAATATACAGATGAGTATATAAAAAGACACTAAAATATTTTGTCATTAGGGAACTGCAGATTAAGTAATAGATAATCTAAAAAACTGACAATACCAAATGCTGATGAGGATATGAAACAGCAGGACCTCTCATGCATTGTGAATGGGAATGCTAACTAATATACCACTATTTAAAGTCGTTGGGCAGTTTTTTCAAAGCTAAACATGGTATCACCATGCAATCCAGCATTTGCACTTCTAGGTATTTAGCTAATTTGTAAGCACTTTCTACACAAAACCCTGAAAATATAATTATGATCAGCTTTATTCATAACTGCCAAAGCTTGAATGCAACCAAGATATCCTTCAACAGGTAAGTAGATAAACAAACTTTGGTACATCCATTTAAATACATGATTAAACCTTAAAGGCATATTGCTAAGTGAGGGAAACCAGTCTATATAGATAGGCTAGATATCATGCAATTCCAATTAAATGAAAGTCTTCAAAAGGCGAAATTATAGTCAGTAAAATGATCATATTGGTTTCCAGGAGTTTAGAAGGGCAGTAGGGAAAGTTTAAATGGGTAAAACTTGGTGATTTTGGGGTGGGGAAGCTATTCTGACAGTGTAATGGTGGATCCATGATATTTTGCGTTTGTTAAAATCCATAGATATTTACATCAGAAAGAGTGGAACTTTATGTATCCAAAATCTAAAAAAATCATTTAGGAAATTGAGAGAATCATAGAAAGGAATTCAGAATCTGACAAGAGAATCTAATTGAAATATCAAATTTGGAATACCAAGTACATGGAACACCCTCAGTGAAGGAAGATGGAAGTGCCGACCTAAATGATTTTAGCGGCATCTATAAGATTAAAAGTCAAAAGAACTGCATATAAGCACTGTATTTTACTTGCTAAAGTTGGTTCCTCCAGGGATACAGTTAAGTATTTTATTATATAACATACTGTTATACTGTTATATATGTATATCAAAAATGTACAATAAGTAAATAAACAGCTGATGATGGAAATCAGATTTCTCACCTTTGAAGCATGAATTTATGGGTAAGTAAACACTGAGGCTACAATGATCCATCTGGCAATGAAATAAAATTGAAGATAGTATGAATTCATATTTAGCTTAATATACAAAGAGTGGTTACATATAGACATTTTTAGAAATACATCTATATGCAGAGGTTAGTATAGACACACATACTAATTGGTTACAATAAATCAATTAATGTAATACATTATAATAATAGAAAAAAATCCAAGATACTCACAATTGTCTCAATAGACATAGAAAAACATTTGGCAAAATCCAAATCCTTTCATGAGGAAATAATCAACAAACTAGTAATAGAAGGAAAGTTCATTACCTTATAAATAGCGTTTACAAAAACCCTACAGCTAAGAAAAAATTAATGGTGAAAGACTAGATGGTTTCCTCCTGAGATCAGAAATAAGAATGTCTGCTACTTACCTACTGAGGGTGTCAACTCTGTCTGTCATAATTTAGTTCACAGAGCCCTTGATCACCTTTCCATTCCACAAGACATCCCACTGGCCCACTACATTGTTGGCATTATGTTTTTTGAGCCCAGTGATTGAGCAATAGCCACTGCATTAGATTTATTCATAGAAAGACATTCACATGCCAGAGGTTGAGAAATGTGTCTAACAAAAATTCAGTGCCTTATACCTCAGTAAAATTTCTAGGGGGCCAGTGGTGTGGAACATGTTGAGATCTCTCTCTCTCTCTCTCTCTCTCTCTCTCTCTCTCTCTTTCTCTCTCTCATTTTTTAAGAGAGAGATTGAGTGTGAGCAGGGGGTGGAGGGGCAAAAGGAGGGGGAGAGAATCTTAAGCAGGTTCTATGTCCAATGCAGGGTCCATATCATGACCCCGAGATCATGACCTGAGTCGAAATCAAGAGTTGGATGCTTAACCCACTGAGTCACCCAGGCGGCCCTTGAGATACATCTGCTGAGGGGAAGGATAAATTATTGCATTTGGCATTTCCTGTAACCCAAAAAGAGACACAATGCCTACTGGGCCTCTCTAGATTTTGAGGGCAACATATTCCTCATCTGGATATGCTACTCTGGCTCATTTACCAAGTGACTCAAAAAGCTCCTACTTCTGAGTGTGTCACAGAACAAAAGATGGCTTTGTAACAAAAGATGGCTATTGTAACACAATATTTTTATATCTACACAAGCTCCTCTTCCATTTGAGCCGTATGATCCAGTCAATCCAATGGTGGAATGAATGGTCTTTTGAATATGTAGATTATGTCAGCTGGGCGACAATATCTTGCAAGGCTGTAGCAAGTTTCTCTAGAAGGTTGTGTATGCTTTGAAACTGTGTCTGATACATGGTGCTGTTTCTCTCATAGCCAAGACCTCTGGGTCCAGGAATCAAGTGGAAGAAATGATTATGACACAACTTGCTATTACACCTGGTGTAACAAAAATTGAGTGTAACAAAATTTTCACCTCCCGTCTCTATGACCTTATGCTTTGTGGGTTTAGAGACGTTGTTAGTTCCAAAGGAAGGGGGCTTGCATCAGGAAATACGGTGATTCTTTGAATCGTAAATTATAACTGCTACCCAGCTACTTTGGACTCTACCTTTCTCTGCATCAATAGGGATTTCCTATATTGCTGATTCTGATTATCAAGGGGAAACTGGGCTGCTGCTACTCAGGGAAGAGTATGTCTGGAATACAGGAGATTCCTTGGGGTCTCTCTTAGTACTCTCACTGTCTGTGATTAGAATCAATGGAAAATTAGAACTCAAAACCAGGCAGGGCCACTTAGGGCCCAGCTAATTCAATGTTAAAGTTGGGGTCACTTCACCAAGAAAAGAATCACATTAGCTTAATAGTTGATGAAAGAAAATGGAGTATCAAATGGGTAGTAGATAGTTATAAAGACCAGCTATGATTACATGACAAGATGCATAAACTATGACTATAATTATTATAAGTATTTCTTCCTTATTTTGTTATGAATATGTGTGTTTGTGATATACATCAGATATATATGTTTTCTTCTATTTATAATGGTCAACATCACAATATTTTTATATCTATGAGAAGACTGAACACCATCTAAGAATTCTGCATCCTTTTTTGGGAAAAGGGCTAAAACATTTTTTGTTATACGTAGGATAATTTTACCATGTTAGGTGGAAATGTGGTTTTGCTATTATTTATAGATTAATTATGGTTTAAGGAGATATGTATGGATACCAAGTTGACAAGCATTGGAAGGTAATGATTATTTTCATGTTCCAAGTTGGCTAGGCCATAGCACCCAGTTATTTGATCACACATTAATATATGCTTTGCTGTGAAGGTACTTTGTAGATGTGGTTAACATTTAAAATCAGTGGATTTGACGTGGAGGTAGGGAAGATTGGCCTGCGGAAATGATCACCAAAACCCACAAAGGAGACCTGGGCCTTGGGCTCCCAGAGAAAAAGAAGAAAAAGAAGAAGGTGGTCAAAGAACCAGAGACTCAATACTCAATTTTAAACAGTGATACTTATTTCAGTGAGATCTGTCCCACAAGAGCCACATCCCCTTCAAAGAGTGTGGTCCTAGAACAGACATCAGAGATGCCTCTAGTGAAGAAAAAGAAGAAAAAGAAGGGCCACAGCATCCTCTGTGAGGAGTGCCTAGAACCTGAGACTGTGTTACGTGCTGGACGGACAGGGAAGTTGTCTAGCTCCAGGAAGCAGGCTCTTGGTTCATCTGAGTTTCAAGGTGCGGAGAAGAGCAAAAAGAGAAAGTCCTTATGGCCTCTGGCCATGCCCCCTGCCTCAAGAGTGAAGACCTCCCCAGACCCAAAAGAGGACGAGGAGGTGACCAGAGTTGACAAGAAACCCAAAAAGCACAAGAAGGAGAAAAAGATTCAGGAGGCTACAGCCTCCTCAGCCAAGGGCCCTTGGTTCTGTGAGTCTGGGGATGCTCTATACACTTGTTCAGTAGGGAAGGATGGCGAGGAGCAGGCAACCTCAGGGCAGAAATGAAAGCAGGGGAGCTCCAGAGAATGCAATGTGAAGATGAAGAAGAAAAAGAAAATCCACCAGAAGGGAGATACTTCTCTAGGGCACCTTGAGTGCTCTAAGTCTGTAGAGAGAAGCCCTAGGAAAGGAAGTAAGAAGCCAGTCAAAACTGAAGCTCCAGAATATATCCCAATAGGACATAACCCCAAATCCCCTGCCAAGAAGAAAATGAAGTCCAAGAAAAAGAGCAGCCAGGGATTGAGGAACCAGCTCTGAAGAGGAATAAAAAGAAGGAGAAAGAGAGCAGAGTAGCAGGAGAATCTTGGGAAGAGGAGCCTGACACAGACTTAGAGGTGGTGTTGGAAAAGAAACGCAACATGGATGAGGCGCACATAGACCAGGTGAGGCGAAAGGTCTTGCTAGAAGAGATCAATCGTGAGTCAGGCAAAACAGAAGTTTCTGAACCAAAGAAGTGGACAGGAACTCAGTTTGGCCAGTGGGATACTGCTGGTTTTCAAAACGAGGGACAGAAATTGAAATTTCTCAAACTTATGGGTGGCTTTAAAAACGTGTCTCCTTCATTCAGCCGCCCCTCTAACACAATTGGAAGGCCCAGCGTGGCTCTCAACAAGAAGGCAGCCGACGCCCTGCAGCAGAACCTGCAGCAAGACTATGACGGGGCCATGAGCTGGAAGTACAAGCGTGGTGCTGGCCTTGGCTTCTCCTCTGCTCCAGACAAAATCTTTTATATTGACAGGAACGCTTCCAAGTCCATCAAGTTTGAAGATTAAAGTCTACTGTCTAGTCCTTCAAAATAGCCAAAATTGCTTTTATTATTCAGTGATGCAGTTGGAAGCCATCTGACAACTGTCTCAAATCACACCTCTGCAGAGATTAAGGAAAACTATGCCCATGTGCTTGGATGAACTGGGGTCAGGGAGCTCATGTTTTAGAAGCCAAGAGGACCTATGAGTGACTGACACCTCCTGTTTTCTGTATTAAGATTCCATCCCTGTTTGAAGACATCAGCATATATAAATAATAGCTGAATTTGCTGAGTGCTTAGTATGTGCCAGGTACGTACTACTGTGTTTCCCTTGCATTAATGTAGTTAGTAATTATGAAATAGGTGCTATTATCCCCATCTTACTGATGAGGAAACTGAGGTTCAGGGATAAAGTAATAAAATTGCCTGGGTTCACTCAACCAGTAAAAAAATAAATAAAAATAAAAAATTAAATCAGCAGATTTTCTGTAAAGGTGATTACAAAAATCAATTGTATATCTGTATATTTGGAGTGAACATTCCAAATTGAAAATTAAGACATTTCCCCTTTTAATAGCATTGAAAGAACAAACTACATAGGAATAAATTTAAAAAAATAAATGCAAAATTTATTCACTGCACTAAAGAAACAGTATTGAAAGAAATTAAAGAGATTCAACATTCTTCCATTCAACATATGGAAGAATATGAAATATTCATGTATTGGTAAACTTAATATTGTTAAAATGACAATGCTTCCAAATTAATCTATGGATTCAATGCAATCCCTAAGAGAATCTCAGCTGACTTTTTTATCTCTGCACTAGTACATCGGTTTTTCTGTAAATCTAAATCTGTTCTAAAAATCTATATCTATTTGGGAAAATAGATGCTATTTTTTATTTTATTTTGTAATGTGGCTAGTAGAATTGAAAATTACACATGTGGCTCACTTATATTTTTGTTGGCGCCTACTGACCCAAAGAAGCACAGAGCAAGGCGGAAAACCTAAGTATCTGTGGCCTTCTGCATAGGCTGTGAACTTTAGAGACTTGCAGTTCAGATCATTCCAGAGGATGAGAGAATGTCTATACTGAGGGTAACTGATTAACAAGAAAGAATTTGGAAAATTAAAAACAAAAAACAAACAAAAAACCAGAATAGTTTTCCTCTCATTACCTAAGTCTCCCAAAGGTGGGGGGGGGGGGGGCGGAATCAAACAAAAACAAGAAAACTATAATGGATTGTAAAATATGCAAGCATCCACAATTTTGACTTTACTTCAGGAATTTTAATCTATCATTTCATAGAGTAGAGTCATTTCTTTTAATAACTGTATGATAAAATACCTTGCACAATAATCAACTTTGCCCAAGTATTAGACATACTAGAACTTAGAATGCTATTTATTTTAGAACTCACTTTGGTTCCTTCTCTTGGAAGGGAAATCCCTTGAGGTCAGGAACTTGGAGAAACACAATTAAGAATTTCTTTTCATTCAATAAAGTATTAATCAGTTGTGACTTATAAAGTGCAGGAATATGACAAATATATTTTCTTTTTTTTAAGGATTTTATTTATTCATTCATGAGAAACACACAGAGAGAGAGAGAGAGACAGAGACACAGGCAGAGGGAGAAGCAGGCTCCATGCAGGAAGCCCGACGTGGGATTCGATCCTGGGTCTCCAGGACCATGCCCTGGGCTGAAGGTGGTGCTAAACCACTGAGCCACCCGGGCTGTCCGACAAATACATTTTCTATGTCATAGAGGTTTTGGTCCATCACTGAACAACTTTGAGGACTTCGTCATCTGTAGTATCTTCCCTTTAGAGCATTTTATTTCCTTATATTTGTGATTCAAATGGTTTAGAGGCCAAAGTATTAATCATAACCTTTACATATATATCTCCATTCCATAAACATTCATTGAGTGAAAATTCATGATGTTTATTTAGCAAGTGATTTCACTGGTTAATTTTGAAAACACATGGGACTTGTCTGTGTGACTTGGTGGTGTGACTCTTAAATTCTTTTTTTTTTATTTTTTTTGACTCTTAAATTCTGTAATAAAATCTTTCTGATTATTACCTGTTCCATCTCTCTTTTATACTCTTACCATCTCCTTCTCTACTCACTCTTAACTTATAAAAAATCTTAACTTTCACTTCTTCCCTTCAATGCACATCTATGTTTTCAAAGTATCTTATCTCTTATTTTCTCTGACAAACTTCCTTAAATATTAGAATAAATTTGGCTCTGAAGAATCTAAAAAAAAAAAAACAACTATGTTTTCTTAGCACAGACAATTTTAAACAACTTCTTACTCCTATCAGTATCCCTGACATGCCCTTAAGTTTCAGATATACATAACAATCATTTGCGATCTAGGAATACCTTGGAGACATTGTCGGTTTAGTTTTAGAACATCACAATAAAGCAAATATTGTAGTGGAAGGACTCAAATGATATATATATTTTTGGATTCCCACTGCATGTAAAACTTTATAAATGTCTAACCTATACCATAGTCTATTAAGTGTGCAATAGCATTGTGTCTAAAAAAGAAGTGTAAATAACTTAATTAAAAATACTTTATTACTAAAAAATGCTATCATCTGAGCTTTTAGCACCTGTAATCACTGATCACAAATCACCAAAACAAAAATAATAATAAAGGCAAAGTTTCAGATATCTCAAAAAGAATTTTTGAGATCTCAAAAAGAATCTCAAAAAGAATCTCAAAAGAATTTTTGAGATCTCAAAAGAATCTCATAAAGAATTACCAGAATGTGACACAGAGATATAAAGTGAGCAAATGCTGTTGAAAATGGCACCAATAGATTTGCTGGATGCAGGGTTGCCACAAACCTTCAAACTGTAAAAAACACAGTATCTGCAATAAAATGATGTATGCCTGTACACGTCTACCTCAGGCAGCTTGACTACTGCACGCCCAAGTTCACATGGTTAGGAAATGGTGGGAATTAAAAAATGGTCCCTTCATTCAACTTTCAGTGCTATTTCATTAGTGAACGCATCAAAGCAAGAAACTACGTAGCATCTACTGTAATGCTGTATGTTGGAAAAGGTGATAAGCTCTAAAAATGGGAGGAGTCACATAAGACCAACAGGTCTTCTGGGATAATCAATAAATGTTGCAGTATGCTACATTTTCAACCATTTGTATTATCATTTATCCTCACTTGAAGGTTACATCATGTCTCGGCCTACTACAACAGCGGTAATTATCTGAGGGAAGAAGGGGCCAGGGCTCACAATATGTCATACAAACTCACCAGACAGGTTAAGAGAAGTACTTGCAATTTGAAAAACCTCCACAAGTTATTGTGATATGCACCTAGATAGAAAGCGATTTTGTTGAGAACCTCTTCTCAGGGTTAAACACAATAAGTTTCATGAGTTTATATTTTGCTCAGATGACTTATGTTTTTTAAAGATGTCTTTCCTGTGAGCCAGATCAAATCAATATTACTTAGGATGCCTGTCCGTGAAGTAATCCTCCAATGCCCTCAGTGCAAGGTTGTACTTAACAGCAAATATATCTGTAAATTTTAAAAAAGTAAATAATAGAGATATAAAACAGAATAGACCAGGACACTCAGATGTCAGCTGAAAAGATCGAGGACAAGCTTCATGTGCAATGTAGAGACGAGTGTATATATTTTCCTCTTACAATGTTTTTTTTTTTTCTTCCAGAATCACTCTGGCATATCCTCTACTCATCAAAATTTGCTGTTAGAAAATCATTGTAGCTATAGTGTGTATAGAGAGTAAAAATAAGAGAAGCTAATATTTACTCTATGCTTGTTATGCTCCAGGCACTGTAATAAAACTTTTTTCACATCATCATTTTGGCATCTTGACTACATTGCCTAAACTGCCCTCTCACAAATAGGTATTACAGAATTTCATCACGAGATTATATACCCAGATTTTTTTGTTTAGAAAATACCAATACATCTATAGAATTAATACTCACAGGCATTCAGGATCTTACAGTTGAAGGGGGGCAAATAAATTTTTCAGTCTAGCTCATCAATTTTATGAAGGATGTCTTAAAAGAATAGTCAAGGTAATTCAGATAATTAGGAATGGTACCAAATACAGATTTTTGGCTACTGATCCCAATTTTCATATCCCTTCAAAAACACATGGCCCCTTATTTTTTAAATAGCATATTATGTTCTGCATTTTTTTTCTAAAACTGTTTGTTACATTGCATTTGATATGTATCAGATTCTTACTGTAGGATGTATGAACAATATAGTATATTGCATTTACTATTTATTTTTTTGAGATATGGTTGATGTAATATTAGTTTCAGATGTACAATGTAATGACTTGAAATGTGTATACATTGCAAAATGATCACTACAATAAGTAGTGACCATACATAGTTACAGAATCTTCTTTTCTTATGATTAAAATGTTTAAGATCCCCTCTACTACATACTTTCAAAATACAATGAAGTATTATTAGTTACAGTCACCCGGCTGTACATTATATCTCCTTGACTTATTCATTTTATAACTGGAAATTTGTACCTTTTGACCCCCTTCACCCATTTTACCCAACTCCACTCCCTGCTTCAGGCAACTACCAATCTCTTCTCTATATCCAAAAGCTTGGTTTTTGTTTGTTTGTTTTTTAGATTCCACATGTAAGTGAGATCATATAATATTTATCATTTTCTGTCTCACTTACTTCACTTGATATAGTGCCCTTGAGTTCCCTCCATGTAGTTGAAAATGGCAAGATTTCACTCTTTTTTGTGGCTGAGTAATATTCCATTGTGTAGGTATTTCACAGTTTCTTCATCCATTCACCCATCAATGGACATGTAGGTTGTTTCCATGTCTTGGTTATTATACATAATTCTACAATGAACATGGGGGTGCATACGTTTTCAAGTTAGTGTTTTCATTTTCTTCCAATGAATACCCAGAAGTGGAATTTCTAGGTCATATTATAATTTTAATCTTAAGTTTTTCAGGAGCCTCTG